CTCTGTACCATCAAGTGGCCAGAACAGCTGATTCTCCCCTGAAAAACAGAAAATGAACAAGATTAAAATAAGAAGAAACCCACATTTTTAAAATGTATGTAAATTTTTCCAGACCAGAACATTATGAAACTTTTGGCTAACTAGTATGAGTTTTTCTTCAGGGGGGCGACTAAAATCAATATAATATGGCTTCTTTCATCACTGTTAATATTACGGGGGGAGAGATTTTTGAGAGTATTGTAATGACTTTCATTTTTAAGCTGAGAAATGAACAGCACAAATGTAAAAGAATTTGAATTCTTATGTACTTAACATTATTTGCAACCACCATGCAGAGAGCATGGCCAATTTTTTTTTTTATATTCCCCTCAGTAAAGATTCTTCAAAACTAAGATTTCAATAGGAAGAGTGGATGAGAGTAGAAATTATAGTTCTGTACTTCCTATTCAAAGAGTAATTGAAGATATTTATTCTGCCATATCTTTTAGGGGAATTTTAAGACGGCCTCATTCAGAAAAGGAAAGTGGAAGATTATGGACTTCCAACTTTAAAAAACAAAATAATCAAAAAAGAGGATGTTATGAGTTTGAGGGACATTCAGAAGGCTTTACAAAGTAATTTGCCTATTTTCTAAAGAACAAAAATGACAGATCATTCCTTGATAGAATGATTTATTGACTGTAAGAGAGTCATGAGTTGATAAACATGAGATACAGCCCCACAGGCCTGGGAGGTATGCAGAGTGAAGAGACAGTACAAATGTCCCTTGACAAGGGCTGAAGGATTGAGGGACCCATCAGTGGCTAACTAGTCTTTTAAATTGTGATGCTGTGCTCTAGTTACACACAATCACAATGCTTCTCATTCATTTTCCACAGCAATCCTCAGTAACTCGCACTTCTAAGGGTCTCATTCACAAGACATCAACCGCTCTTTCCTCAGAGTGCAGCACAGTGCAGAACCCTGCGTCTCCACCTGGGGGTTGGCTGCCATGATGGTGTAGTTGCCATCGTCATCACTGGTGGTGGATTCGATGTGCAGACAACATGTCCCATCTCCTTCTCGCCTCATTTTGCAGTGCTCATTTCTCTTAGAAATCTGCTTCCCATCTTTGAACCAGTAAACCTGAGATGAAAGATAATCAAGGAGATTATACACTGTTCCATTTTCATTATCTTTAGAGGATAATGGTCTAGGGAGTAGAGTGAGGTGAAGGCCAATTGCGACCTCTACAATAAGTGACCCACCCTTTACAAAGCACTTGGAAAAAAAGTTATAAAACATATTCAAAATGATGGTATAATATGCCCCTCCACTTGTACCTATACAGTCTTTAAGCAAAAAATCCAATATAATTTAGGACTAAGGGCTTTTGACAGCTATTTCCTCTTCATAATTAGTTAAAAAGCCACCCTAAGGGCCAGATGTGTCTTAAGCAAAATAATGAAAAGCAGCAGCCTAGATCTTTTCCCATTACCCTATTTATAAGCTCAAGTCTCCTGCAGTTGCAGATCTCAGCACCTAGAATAGCTCACCTTGCTTGAAAGGATAGTGTGGTTTGTTATACTAAGTGGAATGAGGCTGAGATTAACTTGTTAAATTTCTCATCTAGCCAAAATTTAAATATATATATTTTCATGTTTAGTTTTACATGCGTCAAGGAGATCTCTCAAAGACAGAGAAGATAAAATATTGGTTGCAGCTGCCCTCCTCTGCTTTTCCTGGTTACCTAACCATACATGATAACACCCTGCTAATGTTTATGAAAGTAGAGCAGAGAGCCATCCCTGCCACAGCCTCACCAGGTGTAAATCCTTCTCTCTGCCGACTGCCAAAAAATCTGGTGACTCATAAGATTTTTCAGCAGCCAGTGATAATGATATGACATTTTTGGCATTTACCAACCTAATAGTAATGATACAAATATAGCTCACTTTGTGCAACAACAGACACCCTGTGGATATTCAATAAATATTAAAAGGAAAATAACAATTTGGTGAGTCTGATGGTTAAGAGCGTCAATAGCCCAAATATACCATC